CTGGAACCTGCGCTTGCACCCAGCTCGCCCAGTTACCCACCAAGTGGCTCTGGGCCCTCAGTTTGTGCCTTGGTTTCCGCATATGCAAAGTGGACACAGTTAGGACACCTACCTTACAGAATTCTCATAAGGATTACATAAATTGGAATGAATGAAGTTTATAGAATAGTCAGTGGCCCAGAGGAATAAGAAAGTATTGCTGATATTTTTATTATTGTTGTTTATTATTATTATTATTATCACTGCTGTCTTTTTCACACTGCTGTGAAGATGGAAGAGCCTTTTCCTAGCATAATAAGCCGAGGTCTGGGCACACACAGAGGTCGAGGCTTCAAGCCCAGTTATCACCCCTTCCCTCCTCCAGCACATGCACAGCCACATGCTTTTAAAGAGAAAGAATTCCTTTGAGGCAAAATGTTCCTTTCCTCTTGGTGGCCTTGACTGAGGGGGCCACCACACACTCTCAAGTGGCCACCTGCTCCTCCTCTCCATTTCCTACCTACTCTGTGGCCCAGGAAGAGGAAAGAAAAGAGCAGAAATATTGAAAAATAGTCGAGAGGTTAGTTAAAGACTTCTCAAAAGAGATCAGACACACACACACATACCCAGGTACTGGTTGCAGTTCTCGCAGGGGCATTCTAAATAAGCTGGCTGCTGGACTTCTGAGGAGAAGGGAAGTGGGCACAGGGGCCCATGTGCTCAGCAGGACACCCCCCTTTTTGCCACCCCTGGAACTTGCCACCATCACCTTCTCTGCCCCCAGCTCTCGGTGCAGTAATGTTTTTAAAGAGTGTGGGGAACCTCTTTCAGGGGCTGTTCAGGTTTACTCCATCACATCCTAATATTCTCATTTTGAATATGTTTGGCAAGCATCCTGCCAAGGTCAAATGCAAGGTTTCTGTCATGTTTAAAGTGGGGAGAAAATAAAATCCGTCAATGAGAAGAGTCCCCAGAGGAACATTTGATGTGTGGAAATATCGCTAGGCCTGGGAAAGACAAGAGGGCCCTTTAGGTCAAGTGTGTGGCAGGGCAGCAGGGAGAGGGGCAGGAGTGTGGGCAGGGGCACAGTCCCTTCTGAGTGGGGAGGACTCCGTGTGTCCGGGAAGGACCAGTAGGACCGTGGTAAAAAGAGGGGGCATGGCTGGCCTGGGAGGCTGGTGTGGGGAGGAAGTCCCCTTAAAATGGTGCCATAGTGTATTCCAGGACAGTACAGGGCACAGAACAGAGTCAGAGGGGGCCGAGTGATCCCCACAGCACAGCCTCATTTCTCAGGCAGAGCCCAGATCTGAGCAGGAGCAAGGCCTTCTGGGAGTTTGCTCAGGCTACTTCAAGGGTATTATCAGACACTGTTTATACAGTTCCTCCTAAAATCACTCTCTTCCAGCTCAGTGGTCCTTGGGGACTCACAGGCATATGCTGCGGTGGCTGGACAGTAACTGTAGTCATAGGAGTAGATACTCAGGTAAGACCTGAAGCAGGGGATTCCAAAATGGGCAGGTGGAGAGCCTGCTGCCTGGGAACGTTCTCAGCACAGCAATTAGGCTCAAAAACTGTCAATGATCTCTTTCTATTTTTTTGACTTGCCAATGTTACATTTATTCACTCAACATTAAATAAATTAATAAAGTACCCAGTACAGGATAGAGACTTCCTCGAACTAAGATATGCAAAGCGGGGGGAAGAGATGCAAGGTGAATGTGATTAGAATCTGCCTGGGGAAGCCCATCAACGTAACAGTTTGAAAGAAGCAGATAAAAAAAGCTCAGAACACACAGCACTGTAATTTGCTTGGGGGTGTCAGGAAGCTTCACAGAAAGGTGGATATTTAGTTAGGTCATGAAGAAAGAGTAGGAGAAAAGGGCCAAAGAAAGTATCCAGTATATTAATGATTAAAAATACAAAACCTGGCATGAAACAGTCCTGGTTTCAAATGTTAGTTTAATTACTTACCAGACTGTAAAACCTTAATCAAGTTATTAATCGCTCTAACCCTGAACTTTCTCATCTGTAAAATGGGAATAATTCCACTCATCTCACAAAGAGAATTAAATGAGATGATTGCTATAAGTTTCTTGCCACAGTGCCAGCCTAAGGTGGCCACCTGCATATGTAGCTATGGTTATTCTTCAGCCTGTTTATTTTTGTTCTGGGTTGTTCTGAAAGTGATGAAATGGCACCCTGAGAAATGTCAGCCTTTGGAGAGACCCAGCATTCAAGGAGGTTTGGGCTCATGCATCTTCAACGACGCTCTGGACAGACAGGACATGCTGGCAGAGTGGAATGTGCTAGCACAGTGGAATATTCTTGTATCTCAGCTTATAAAATATATACATAAATTTCCTCCAATTCTCTCTTAATTTCTTCTGGCTCCAGGGCTTTATAGCGTGACTCAGTCTGTAACTCACAGATCCCAGCGCAGAATTGAAACACCACCCACCTTCAATCCCGCACTCTCAGTGCACCGCCCACCAGTGTCTGTACCTTCCCGATAGGCCAGAGCTTCCCCTGCCCCAGCCACACCTTCCCCACTTCCCCTTCCCTGCCCCGCCTTGAGAAAAGAGAGAAGAGGAGAAGGGGAATTCCAGTTGAAGCAGAACTCAAGGGGAAATGACTTGTGTTTCACAAGGAAGAAATCAAGCCTTTTCAGTTACCGTATTAAGTCGTGCTAACATTGGCTTAGCAGCCCCTCAGATTCTTAAACAGTGAGCCCTGAGCTGTGGAACTTCCCAGGGTGAGGTTCACACTGCTTCGGAAGGCAGCAGCTGGCGCGGAGGGAGAGCACGAGCACGCTCAAGACACAAGACCTCCTGGGCGCAGGGTCTGATTCAGGCTGCACCTTTGGGGGACCCTGGCGCCTGGGCCTGGCACCCCCCGAGGAAAGCCAGTGGGTGGGTGGCAAAACAGTTAATAAAGTGGTCTCCATACTTAAGCACCATCTGTTTCACCTCACACCTTTTGGCCTTTATTGGGGAGTACTAACCCTCAGGAGTGCCCCTTTGCCCAGCCGCACTCAGTTGTCACCACATCAAGTGGAAAATCACCTGCTAATTCCAGCTCTGGTCACAGGGGCTACCCCCTGTGAGCAAGGAAGGATGACCTCGAGAGCCCCATTTGAAGACTGGGGTTACATGGACTGCTGACAGCCCCCAGCCACACAGAGGGGAAGCAGGTCACTCTATCAATTGCCATTTAAAAAAAAAAGAAAGAAAGAACAGCACTTAACTTGGAGAACTGCCTGATTTATCTTTAGAAAGTGATAGTATATAAATATATCCAGTAAATCACAGAGTTGAAGGAAATCCAACTGCCTCGAATTAGGCAACAAACTTTGAGAAAGGTCAAACCTACACTTTCCTATATTAAACTATCCTGGGGCAAGAAAGAACCCTTAAAGAGAAACCAACTAGTCTCTTTCTCTTCACCCATTTTTTTGAAAGAGGGATATTAAATGTAAAGGTCAGTTTTTAAAACTTCTCCTAACTGCAATCACTGTATCTTTTTGAACCTTGAAGTACCCTCACCCCCTTACCTAGCAGTAATAATCCTCATTTCACAAGCTCTTAGCAGCGCTGTTAAGAGGCTTCAGCGAACTTTGCGTTGTTCCAATCTCAGCACGGTTTGGAGGCCAAGAAGCTAAGTGCAGCCTTTCAACGTGGAAGTGGAAGTTTTCCATAAGGGGACCTGACCTCAGCATGACGCAGTCTGCACATTTGAGCACTCAGTGCCATAATTATGGCTTTACTGTAATAAGAAGGAGAAGAGAATTACATTGATAGTTATCCTAACCTGGCTCTAAAGGATTCCAGAAGCAAGGAGATGCACACGTCTGGGTCCAGAAGCATGGCAGCTCTGAAGGAATATGGTTGATCTGAGCCAACATCAAGCTGGAGTCCCAGCCTCAATGTGAGCGATGGACCACCTCAGCTCTCCTTTAGAAATTACAGCCAGCAGGAGTGTGGATGTCTGTGGAGCCTTCTTTCACCCAGAAACTTTCAAGGAGTTACTAAAAGCTCAATAAATAAACTGATTTGCTTCTTAGCTCCACTCGAATTGCTTTGATGGAAGGGCTAATGGGAAGAACAATATACAAAAGCCATTCATAAGAGAGGGAAAGAAATAAAAAGAGAAATGGAAATACAATCTAATTATGACAACTCTCCAAAAATGTGAGGCAGGTCCCTCACCTTTGAGATCTAGTACATAAGAGATAGGCAGGAGGGAACATTCTGGGTAGGGCTTTAGCTTGGTGCATATGGCATCTCATTTAATCCTAGTAAAGTTGTGTGAGAGGGTACAGCAGCACCTCTTTCTCCCTCACTGCAGGGGAGAGGTGTATGAGTCAGCAGAGTTAAGTAAACAGCCCTTTGGTCACACTGCTAGTAATGGTAGAACCACACTTGAATCCATGTAGTCAGACTCCAGATTTCTGATGCTCCTTCCAATGTGTTTAAGAATGTTCCAGTATGTTTAAACTCATTTGTTGAAATTGTAAATAATTTCCCAGTGGCCTGAAAAAGTAAACGGCATCCCTAACACTGGGTTTAGTGCCAAAAAGTCACATGTACCGTTAGAGGACAAGAGCCCAATTGATTCTTGGCATTTCTAAGGTGAAATAAAACTCAAGTGTATACAGTATTAGTCCAAAGTTCACACAAAAAGAGTGTTGTACTTTAAAGTAGTCATCTTTGGAAGCAATATGGTTATTCTTACAAGGCTACATGCTCAAAGGTTTGTTTCTTTTTTTTAACTGCCAATTAAGAACCAGATTTCAAACTGCAAATAAAACATTCACATTACTTTATAATTACACGTGGTTATTTCTACAAGCAAAAACTAGTGTTACCTACCAGACTTGACCTTATGTTTACAGCAAACCTCACCTAGCATGAGCAGTGTTTCGGTAACAGAATTAAGCTGCTGGGTGTCATTTTCACCCTGACCTGTGTGCAGACTGATCTGAAAGAGTACTTCATCCTCCTCCCTGCGCTTCCCTCCTTCAGGCAGCATCGCCGCCATTACAGTGACAGTCATTGCTGTCGTGTTGTTGGTGTTCGGAGCTGCAGCGTATCTGAAGATCAGGTGAGATGCACTTTATTCTTTATGAAGAAGAGATTCCATTTTGTCGGGCTCCAGGCTCAGAGGTGTTTTGCTGAGTGCCTGTTTCCTGATAAGTATCTTAGCTCTCAGAAATATTGGCAGGGGCGTGAAACCACCAGAGTGCTCCACACAAGACAGGAATAGATGGTACAGGATCTGACCCTTGGCAGCGCAGAAGAAATAAGCTAAAACATGCAGCATGATGACATAATGGACTGAGGGTGAACCTGGCGCCAGGACGCTGAGGCTTTGGTGCTCTGCCTTAATTCACGTCATCGCCCCGAGAGAGCTGCACGCCTCCTGACCTCAGTGCTTCATTTCTGTACTGTGAAATGGGGGCAGGGGTGAACTCAGTGAGTCCTAAATGCTGATTTTCTGAACACTGATATGTGGATATGTACCAGTCTGTAAGGAGGACAGTTCCACTGGCTCTAAAGCAGAGGTTGAAAATAGAAGGAAAGTGTAGCATTTTCTATGAAATTGGTGTTTTTCCCTTGAGATTATGTCCTTAAGTTTTTGGTTTTAGAATATCTTTTCTTTTATGAAATGAAGGTGATCACTCAGATCATTGCTGAGTTTTTACTTTCTTTAGCCAAATACGAAGCTTCACTATTCTGGGAAGCCCCTACTTTTATTGTCTGCTGCTCTGTGAAATCCCAAAAATTCAAAACCACATTACTCACACTGTGTCCTCACAGGTAAGATGCCAAATGTCAAGTGACAGTCTTATTTGCCAGGCTGTGCAGTGCCTGAAAGAAGGGATAGAAGGACATGTGCCATCAAGATGAGCACAGCCATCCCCTGACCTCCTGCATATTCTCTATGGTGGCTTCCCCGTGCACTTGGCATTAGCTTCTGACCCCTCAGCTTGGCCCTCAAGGTCATTCATGGGCCAGCCCCTGCTCCCTCTCCTTGCTTATCACATCTCTCCCTGTCTTAACCATTGGGCTGTGGTCACACTGGCTTTCTGTCCAATTCTCAAAACATACCAGGTTCTTTTTCTCTTCCAGGCCCGTGGCTCTGGTTGGTCCCTCTCTCTGAAATGCTTTTCTCCAGCTGTTCTTTACACGAGGCTTACTTATCACACACTCTGGAAGACCTCCCTTCCGGTGGTGTCCCTGTTATTTATTCTCTTAGTGCCCCAAGTACTTTTATCCTGATTCTTACCACTGTTACTTTTTTTCTGTTCGCTTGTTTATTGTCTCTTTTCCTCTCAAAAATGTAAGCTCTATGAGAACTCATACTTTATCAGTGAGCACTGTGCTGGGCACAAAGAAGATGCTCCATTAATTGAACAAGTGAACAAGTGAACATAGAATAGTCACAGAGGCACTGTGGTGCACACACGTGTACACTCTCGATTTGCTTCTCTTTACCGCAGCTATACTTCCTCAAGAAGTCGTGCCCTGTTCTTCCCTCCCACCCTGGTTCCCCACGTGGAGTTCACATGCTTAATTTTCCATCACTATGCTCACATCCCCTTTGCTGCCCTCTCACCTCTCCTCTGGTCACCTCAGCCAGGACAGACACCCATAGTCAACTCTCTCTTCCTCTTCCCCTTTTCTCTCCCTCCATCTTCTGTTCTAAGTATGCACACATCAATCTAATGGTGGTGTCAAGTATGAGAGTACCTTCTTAACATCATCCATATCTAAGGCGTAAGAGCAGGAAAGCTAGATTACAAAGAGAAATTGGAATTAAAGGGCTAGTGTTACCTGTATCTACAAGCCCTTATAGAAGCATCCTTGTCTCCTTTGTAATTTAGAAAAATCTTTCTATACATGAAGTCTATATTTCCTTGAGTGGCTTATATGAGAAATATTTTATGAAATATATGAAATATATCTTACTGAATGGTACTTGTTTCCATCTGGTTTATTACTACTTTATCACTGCAGATACACTGTCTTTAATTATGCCTTAAACTGAATGTTATGAACTAGTCTGGGAACCTCCTTCCCACTTTGTAACAGTTCTCTTTGTGCAGAGGTAGGAGTGGGCACAAAGGGAACTTACAGAGAAACTTCAGAGTGGTTTTGGAATCACCAATGGTGAGTCTCTGAAGGGCTATGTCACCAAAAATACACCTGGAATGTAGAGCAAAACAGAAACACTTACCTCTTGCTACACACTTGCAAAAAATGATGTTGAAATAACCTAAGGCCTCTTCCTCATGACTCTGGGCAAGAAATCATGTTTACCATCTCAGACATACTGCTGACTATAGACAGGCAGTCTAGAATAGTGATCAAGGATTCAGCCTCTAGAAGCAGAGAGACCTTAATCCTGGCTCTACCACTTTCTAGCAGGCTCTAGTGTGACCTGAACATGTTTTGGAGCTTCACTAATACTCACTTCCCTCTCCTGTAAAATAAGGCCTGTAAATTTTAACTAGTTGGTAGCATTCTTGAAAGGATTAATGGACAGTGCTGGTTTAGCACTGCCACCATCATTATCAAAGTAGTCAACTAGAAGGAACCCCCACAGGACAGGATCTTGGTAGCTACTAAACATAATCATGTGTCAGGCACTCTTCTAAGCATTGGGGTTATATCAGTGAGGAGGCCCAGCCTGGACATCACAGAACTTTCAGTATTTGGAGAATTTTGCTAGCAGAATTTTGGACAACTAAAATTCATTCTAAAGAACACTGATTATAATTATAGAACATTTTATTTTTAAAACTTAAAGTATGTTTTCTCCAGGCATTCTCAACACTAGATAAATTCAGCAAATAATTAAATTAGTCATTGTTTCTCCCCTGCATATAGGTCCTCTCTCTCGCAAATGTAGAAAGGCCTTCAGTAGTGTAAGTGTAAGGTTGTTATTTATCTTTTACACTACAAAGTTAAGTATGAATAAAGTGATCAGACTGTTTAGAAACTCCCTAAGGAAAGCCCCTATCTGCTGCTCTAATAATTATTTCAGCAAAATGATAACATAAGGGGTTTAATAACTTTCATGAATCTTAAGGCTTTGCTAAAACCCCTAATGTGTTATTTTGCCAGATTCTTGGAAAGCCACATTAGTCATTCATCAAAAATACATTTGGCTTAATTGATGTGTGTGTGTGTGTGTGTGTGTGTGTGTGTGTGTGTGTGTGTGTGTGTGTGTGTTTACTTAAGGTTGGGTTTTGCCTTGGTTGGAAATTTATTCCACTCCTATTGTCCCAGATTTCTGAGAACAATAACATGACAAGAGGACTGTTGTCTGTGGTCTTTTAGTTCAATTGGCTGGAGAAGCAAGTGACTGAAATCAAAGCACATGAGGGAACCATTAGCTTCTGGCCTGAAACCACGGGCTATCGCCCTGGCCCAGCCAATGTCCCAGCAAAGGCAAAAGAGGAGTCAGCTTGTAGGGCAGCCTCACAACCAGAAACAGGGCATGCCTTACAAGCTCAGCTAACAGCGCCTCAGTAGTTTCACCTTTTCCCCACTTCTAATTCCTTCCGAAGGCATCAGTGAACTCACTAGCCATCTGATTTCACACTCCTGTTCTTTAAGGAACCGTGACCCCTAGTTTTGTCATACTACCCCCTGCCTGAAGAATCACATCTTTCCATAATCTAAGCCACTTGGGGATGCAGCTTATAAAAACGAGGATCCCTGAACCTTCAGGGGTTTTCTCTCCTATCAGTCCCCCATGGTAGCCAACAGCATGATGTGTGGGGGGAGAAATGGGCTCTCTGCCGACAGGTCCAGTACTGACCCTTCTACTTATGTGTTTGGGCCTTGGACAAATTGTAACCTCCCTGATCTTTAATTTCTTCATCTGCAAAAATAGAGCCAGGAACACCTGAAGATGAAGTCATGAGTGTAGAGCATTACCCAGAGAGACCATATAGCATGGTGGTCAGGAACATGGACTTTAGGACAAGTTCATTAATCACTCTGTGCTCAGTGCCTTCATTTTCAAAATGGAACTATCATACTAATACCTAAGTTAGGATTGTTATGAGGATTAATTTATGATACAGATACACATTCAGCATGAGGCACAGGATGAGGGCCATGTTTAGGGCCAACTACTGTCCTTGCTGTAACTGTTGATATAAAACAGTGCTTCCTACTTGGGCGCTCAGTAAAATGGAGCCACCAGCAGTCCCAGTGAGTTGGCATTTGGGGACTCAAAGGAGAAGGGAGCTCAGTTTTCTAAGTATGCATTGATGGGCAGACTTCCATGTTCCATTCTGGCAGTTTTAATGGTGCTTTTTCTAAATACTACTTGGGAAGGTGCATCCATGTTATACATTCATAAGTAGAAATGATCTCTGAGCAGTCTTTATTCCAGGGCTTATTTGTGACTTTAAAGGAAAGTAAAGGCCCTGCCTGCTTCTTGCAGAAGGGTATCTTTAATTAGTGATGATTGACGAATGAGGTATGTTGGTTTTATTTTGTTTAAATTGGCTCAAAACTGTTCTGCCACGAGATAATCTCCTACACAGGAGACCGTATCTGCTATTGCCAGCAACGTGGATGCTGCTATAATTAGGTGTGCTGGTCACCCAGAGAGACAACATGAGCTGTTCACCTCACAAAACTACATTTTGATTTATAAACACAAAGGAGCCTGGCTCTTAAGGCATCTTGTTAGAAGTCACCTGTTTTGCTTTAAGTCTTCCAGTGAATATTTTTTATACAATTGGATTCCTTCTGGTTGTTAGGTTTAAAGAGTAGGCCCAGTCAGCTGTAAAGTCTAAGATCTTTTAGAATTTGTCATCAGTAGGTTGACATTTTCAGATCTGCTTTTGGTGTTCTGTAGGTCTAACTGATATGTTATCTAGTAGTTCTCAAACTTTAAAATGCATGAAAATCAACAGGTGAGCTTATTAAAAACAGTTTCCTGGGTCTCATCCCCCTAGATTCTGATTCAGAATGTCAGCATGGGGCCCGTGCACTGGCACTTCTCACCAGTTCACAGGTGATGTCAGTGATGCTAGTCTGAGGACCAAACTCTGAGTAACACTGCCCTCCTCTGATCCC